TATCCTCTTCTGACGGAGGATTTCGTGAGCTTGCTTGCTGTTTAGATGGGCATCCGGATGTTTGACTGAGATGTATGTCGTATGTTTCTGAAGTGATGAATCATGGCTCGAGATTTCACCTTCCAAGAAGAAGAGGAGGAATTCTTCGACTCGAGAGATTCGGTCTCCTCCGTGTTCGATTCATGTCCTGGCACCCCGCTGAAGAACGGTTTGCTCCCTGAAGACCAATTCATAAGCTGGCCATCGTGTGATCCCCGGTTCGAGGTCTGGATCAAGGATCCTGTCAGCGTGAGGGAACGCCGGGACAAGTTCATGAAAATGTTTTGTGCGGATATGATGAACTGCCCCCCTCAGGGATCAGACAATCCTGATGAAGAGGTAAATGTGGATGGTAAGATCCAAGCAGATGCCGATGGAGTTGAATCCTGCTCTTGTTCAGGGAACAAGCTTTCGGTTTCCACCTGGTCCAGTGAGGACACAAGTACCTCATGTGATGAAACATCCGATGAGAGCCTTGTAAGCAGAATCAAGAATTTGGATGATGGCACAGTCTTTGTAGTGAATGAGTTGGGCAAAGATGGTAGCTTAAAAAGCCTTCGGGAAGTTGGTTCGGATCGGACATTAACGCTCCATGAATTTGAAAGGATTTTTGGTTCGTCATCCTTGATCCAGCGGCTTATGAAGCGAGAAGATAGTGCGTCGAGAATCTCTGAGAAGTCTGTGGGAAGGATGAGGATTGGGTGGCTGAAAAGATTGGGTGCTGCAGCTTGCATTTTGGATAGACAATGGGAGGAGAGTTGGACCAGTTTTCCTGATCCTTGCAGTAGTAAAAGGATTAGGATCCGATGGGTCAAAGTCCATCCATATAAGAAGCGAATAAGGGGACTATCTGCAGTCTACAAGGGCCAAGATTTTAAAGCCCATGATGGCACAATCTTAACCATGAAATTTAGTCCCGACGGCCAGTATTTAGCTTCGGGAGGTGAAGATGGGGTTGTGCGTGTGTGGTACGTGATGGAATGTGAAAGAGATGAAATGGACATTCCAGGAGATGATCCTTCATGCATGTATTTCACAGTGAGTCATAGTTCCAAGTTAACTCCTCTATATGTTGACAAAGATAAAAAAACAAGATCCAGGAGCACAACTGTGAATTCAGATTCAGTGTGTGTCATAATTCCTCCTGCTTCTTTTCGATTGTCTGAGGAACCACTTCATGAGTTCCATGGGCATGATGGGCATGTGCTTGATATTTCATGGTCAAATAATAAGGTAAGTTAATACCTTAACACTTGTGTACTGAAGGATAAATTTATAGACTTCTGAGGTTCTAGAGAACCTTTTTCTGATTGCAAACTTATGCTTCTATCAGTGCTTACTATCATCGTCTATGGATAAAACTGTTCGGATGTGGCAAGTTGGATCGGAAGTCTGTGTCAAAGTGTTCCCTCACAATGATTATGGTAGGTGTTTATTTGTAATGTCATCATGTTGCCATCATCTGTCATACATGTGAATTGGCTTGTTGGTCTCACCAGCTCTTTTGTATTATCCATATGCAGTGACATGTGTGCAGTTTAATCCTATTAATGAGAATTACTTCATTAGCGGCTCTATAGATGGAAAAGTTCGTATGTGGAAAATTTCAGGATGTCATGTTGTGGATTGGGCTGTTATTAGAGAAATTGTCACTGCAGTTTGCTACTCTCCTGATGGCAAAGTTTGTTGTTACTGTTTTGTATAGCTGTACTCAAAAGTTTGATAATATGGAACTTTGTTTAAATCAATGTTTTCCTTCTGTCTTTTTCAGGGAGTAGTGGTTGGCACCTTAGCAGGAAACTGCCGCTTCTATAATGCATCAGGTATATATGAATTTTCTATCTTGAGGTTTGTTGAAATCTTTATGCATGGTGGAATACTTTGATCTATACTAAAGACTATCTTCTATTTTGCGTACTGTGACAACTGATCCTTCTTTACCATGCTGTTCACTTTGATATGTATATATATTTGTCACATCTCTTCACCTAGACTCAATACACCATTTAGATACAAATGTTGCCATTTGTCCTTCATACCACCAAGTTTCGGAACATCACGTTCCCGTGTCCATCCTTAATGTTCTTCATCTGATTTGTTATTCCATCAAATGGGGTCTGGAATCGAGTTCTCAAAAATTGCTTTTGATAATTAGGAAACTTGTTATACTTTACCATGTGGCTTCATAAGTTTCTATGGTTTACTTGTTTCTTTCGTTTTGATGGATCAGATAATATTCTATGGTTAGATGCTCAGTTCTCACTACATGGCAAAAAGAAGTCATTGAAGAGGATAACAGGGTTTCAGGTTATTTTCTACCGAAAGAAACCCTACATGGTTGATATGTTTGTATATGTCAACTTCATATATGCTATTTGTCTCCTACTGTTTGTTACTTACAAATTTTGATTCCACCTCCAGTTTTGCCCAACCAATCCTCATAAACTGATGGTCTCTTCTGCCGACTCACGAGTTTGGATCCTTGACGGCATTGATGTGGTTTTAAAATTCAAGTGTATGAAATCTTGTTCTCTTGATGTGATCCACTTATATCCAGGACAATGATTTGCAGAACAGTATCCATCATGTATCTTGTGTAATTGCTATCTTCAGGCATTCGGAACTCTGGAAGTCAGGTCTCCGCATCTTTCACTTCGGATGGACGGCACATTGTTTCTGCCAGTGGGGACTCCAATGTCTACATTTGGAGCCATGCCAACAATGCTGTGCCCACTTCTAACAAAGTGAAGAGCACATTGTCTTGTGAGTGCTTCTTTTCTAGCAATGCATCTATTGCAATACCCTGGAATGGTTTGCAATCCGGAAAAAAAGTCACTACCTCTGAGGTCCTCCATGGACAGAAGGATGTCTTCAGGGAGAAAGCTGGAGTCTCAGGAAATGGATATGGCTCTAATTGTCGCATAGAAGATTTGTTTGGAAGTAACACATTGTATTTATCACCTTCTTGCTGTTTCTCCCCAAGCCACGAGTTCTTGGAGTATGTGCCAAAGAGCTCGGCAACTTGGCCGGAGGAGAACCTTCCATCGAGCTTCGCCGCATCTACCTTCTACAAGTCTCTGAAGACTTCTTCATGGAACACCTCGCATGCCTGGGGTCTAGTGATGGTAACCGCTGGATTGGATGGAAGAATAAGATCCTACCAGAATTATGGATTGCCGCAACATCTATGATCAGTTTGGTTTTCACCTGGGCATGCTGACATCTTTGTCTTAATATTACTCGATAAAATTTTGGTGGAGCCTCCTTCCGGAGCTTGGTGATTGGCAAAGTTGACGCCGATGATCTGTTTGTAACATGTGCCCAGTTCTACTGCCAAAATGCTGCTCGAGTCACAAGTATACAACATAAGCTAGTGGTTCTTGAAGATATTTTGGCGCACCAACAGAAGAACGTGGTAGACTGAGAAGGCTTGCATGTTCCTTGTAGATATGTTGTTGTGTAGGTGACATATTGGGGATTGGTGTTCTTTCTTGGTTCAGAATTGGACCCTTGGGGTTTTGGAGATACTTCCCGAAAACATTTGTCAATGTGTGTCAAGCATCCACCCAGTCTGAAGCAGCGATCGACAGATGGGTCTGGGTGAGGGTTCGCTGATACTGTTGCACGGAGAATATTCATTCAATTGTACAGATTCTTTCATTTAGTTTCTCAAGTGATTATGGTTTAGACTGTTTTATGAAGTTACCTCTATGTGGATGGATTGCGTGAAAGTTGGTCATGTTGGGTGGTGAGGTCTGAGTCGAAGCCTTCTTCTTCCATAACTTGCTCTGTCTAGTGACTCAATGGTATTCATTGCATGTTTGGGTAGAAGCCTACAATACCTGTGTCCCTACAGAAACAGCCATCACAAAGGTAGGGTATGGACATCAGAAGGCAAGATCTTGCTATTCAAGTGTAATCTACATTTACTTGGAACTACATTGACCCCATGGATTTATATATTTCTGATGCTTCATACAAGGTTAATATTTTATTCAATTATCCTACAGCAGCAGAAAAAAGATTGTTGAAGAACTATATACACATTTGACAAGGCACTTGAGCAAGGCAAGGTGAGGTCCAAGCATCTCGCACAGTTGCCGAGCGACGTCTTTGAGTGAAGCGTCACCTGGGTGCTCATCTGAACCCTAGCATCGCGCGCCTCAAGTGAGCACCCAACTTTAGAAAGGTAACCAAGTGTAATGATTACCATCATCACAAAGGTAGGATATGGTCATCAGCAGGCAAGATCTTGCTATTCTAAATTGTAACCTACATTTACTTTGGAACTACATTGGACACAATGGATTTATATAGTTCTGATGCTTCATACAAGAGTGGTTTGACATCTTGACGTCTAGCATTTTTAAAGGCACCAAACAGTTGCACATATAGGTTTTTAGCGTGTAGGCATTGACATCAGAAGGCATCCCCTTCGGTATTGATCTTCACAGCTGGTGAGTGAACTCCAAAAGGAGAAGGAGATCATCATCGGTACAGGAAAACTGCATGCATGAGATTACAGTGAATTCGGAAATTTGCTGAAAAGTATATCTAGTTTGTTACTTTTAAGATCAATTCCTTCATTAAACCTTCAGATTTGAAGAAAAGTCGACATGAAAGGAAAAGCTGCCACAAAGAATGGAATCAACATGCTTTATTGCCATGTTTGCACTAATCAGAGATGGCGAGAGACTCCCATGACAGGTAATTAACTTATCCTCTTCACCTCCTAATCAGGTATGGGAGGGTGGATGATGTCATCATTCGATGAATCCAAGAGTTTGCATCCTTCTTCTACCTCAAGAGACACTTCTGAGGCTCAGTGGATTGCCACCACAATTACATTACCAAGAAGACTGACAGATTCATCTCATTTCTTAGTCCACCAATTACAGAGATCAGTAACATAGTTGCTCAATGTAATGGAACAATCAGCATCAGGCTTTGATTCCAGAAACTAATACATTAAAATGAAGAATTTGTCCAAATCCATTTTGTGTAGCCAAAACTAATAAGGCAAAGGTTAGAAAATACAAGTCAATCGGCATTGCCCTTTTTATGTGGAAGCAATGATGAGACCTTTGTATAATATGATAGAAAGGCAGAAGCCATTCCTTCCTAAATTAACGAGATATTATTCATAAATATCAGTGTACAAGGAAATGGCTGGAAATTACAAATATGTTGGCTCTACCAAACCCTATCAAATCTAAAACGGCCAAAGATCACCCCAAAGAGATCGGCGAGCCTGGAGATGAAGTGTTGGATTCTTGGCTTGCGTGACCACCATTCGCTCGAATGCGCCTACAGAGCCATCCCGTTTGGTGGATCTACATATGTCCATCTGAATTTGCCTTCCCCTCCGCATTGGTGTGAAGATAATCCGACCCCAACCACTCCCAAGATCAGCATGGGTTTGTTCTTCTTCCTCATTTTCATTTTCATGGAACATGTTAGTCTCCGCAATATCAGAGGCATAGGGGACCAATGCGTCTTCAAATGGGCTCTCTGCGTCATCTTCTGTTGCAAATTGATCCTCTGAGAAAAACAGTAGGGCTTGTTATTAGTATCAGTATCTTCTCCTCTGCATCAGCATATTGCCAAGAATGATTTGGAGCAACTAGAAACGACAAAAGAAGGTATTAAAAGAAGTGAGTTCAGTGGCTTGGTAGAATAGGAAGGAATCACTGAATTGGTATGCAGCCTGAGGTAATCTCCAAGTGGTTTTATAGCTTTGCCAGTATTAATGCCATCATGTCATGGAGCTACTTCCAAAGTTAATAATTCAGTTGCACAAAAACAAAAAGTTCAACATGATCTCTAGAACTGTTAACAAAGAATATAGTACTCATTTAAAATGGTTCTCCTCTGGCCAAGGCGAACTATGTTCTTTTCCAGCTCATTGAAGTTGTTGTATTTTGTCCTTATTAATATTGCAGTTATCTACTTCAAAATCTCCATTAGCAGGCAGTCACAACACACACACACACACAAAAAGAGATGGGACATGGAAATTGTTCAGAAATTTGTTTGCTGTTTCTAATCATTAAAGAGGAAGCCTACTAGGAATTTCCAATATGAGGGAGTCCAATGACTTATCTTGAGAGGATCCTCTAGTCCACAAAAAAACAACAAAATACTGATAAAAAGACAAGAGACCATATAACAGTTATACATGGATAATTTGCCTGAAGTGTTGCTTATTAATAAGATCAATCATCAAAGAAGCCCTTACCGAATGCTTCAGACCAATATACATTTACAATGCAATATGTTTGAAGCAGCCAACAACCTAATGCACAGGGAAAATTGTCTAGATGTGTTCAAGTTTCAATGAAAAGATGATTTATGATATTAAGAAAAACTTAAGGCCTGTCACATGAAGGAGTTCCCATGTCCAGCAGCATATATATATATATATATATATATATATATATATATATATATATATATATGGCAAGGAGTAATAATGGATGCAAATGGTCTGATACATGATATTGACTATATATGTGTGATCATGAAACTGCTAGCATGATCAAAGTGTGGTATCATATGATAGGAAATTTAACAGAGTTCTGCATAATTCGAAAGATAAATGACAAATCCATCTTTACCTAGAAGTGTTACAAGATATTATATAAGTAGCATTTCAATAAAATTGTAAAGCATTTTCTATTAGTAATAACTTTAATAAACAGAAACAATCAATTCAAGATAAAACAACAACTATTACTGTGAACAAGTTGAACTGAATTCATAATTGCAATGAGTCTAATGAGACGATTAGCTACCAAAGTCAATGATAAGATCCTCTGGATTCCTCTTAGCAAGTCGCTCTTTCAGTGTCTCAAACTCCATTCCATCAAGTGGCCAAGCTTCCCTACTCAAGACAAAAGGAGATAAAAAGCCAGAGTTGTTTAAATCACTTCATATATTAAAAATGATGTAATGATTCATGGCTTTTCTGTTTACTGACAAAAGTTGAAGAATAATGCAGGACACAATAACACAAAGTTGAGTTATATACATCACAAGGAATGAAGTTTAGTTGCAAAACATAAATACTATGCTGAATGTAAGAAGTGGATTGCAAACATTAAGATTTTGTTAAAAATAAATTATCTGGCATTCTTCAAAACATTTACATGACCATGTTGTGACTCATCAATAAATAAATTCGGTTGGATGGAATGCAAAACCAAAGCTGAAGTAATAAGATCATGAACATGTGGAGACAACACGGATATATGAAAATAAGTATGTGTTTAAGTTGTACAAACATATACCTTTACATGCAAGTATTCATGTCATCTATTTAAACATGAGATAGGAAAAAACTTATACAGTAAAATCCATTCAAGGTAAAGCCACAGAGCTCATGTTCATGGATCATCATCTACACACCTAAAGATGCTAAAAGACCATAAAACAAAAAGATGCACAATATCAATTAAACAGAAAATGCAATTCCATTTCAGTTCTCTCTTTCAAACAAATTAGGCATCATAAGCTGACATCATTAATTCATTCGAACATTCGCTCCAGTATAACCAAAGTAATACAGTAGCGTTGCCCGTCAAGATTTCTCCTACCAGAACAAACAACCATGCACAAAAACAAAGAATTAATACAATATGTAAACAAGTGAACTAAGCTCATATTCAAGCATGAATTACCTAACAAACCAATACATCGATCATCTCAACAGTATAATCAAGCCAACACAACAAAAAGTACCATAATAGGTAAAAAAGCATATATCCGAGTAGTGATTCAGCAATTATGAAGAAAGTTAGGCTTTATTGCTTTGCAGAATAACGACTAAAACGAAACTTGTGAAAAGAAAAAAACTTAAAACAGCCTAAGCAAGCATGAACAAAGCCTATCACCCTCCAAATAAGTAGATTACACATACTTTGCTCTAATCATTTAAAGTCACAGACTTGTAGTACTTGCCTAGAGTTCAACAAGCAACAAAACAGTTATAAAAATATGAAGCCATCTAGCATAAGCATGGTAAGCATACACAGAACAGAAGTAAAATCAATCAAGAATTTGATAAAGATAAGACTGAAGACCAAAAACTCATGCAAATTCAGAAAAAATAGTTTAGCCATATGTTCTTACTGTGGTCGTTTGCCACGTCTCAGTGCAACAAAACAGAATTTCTCATCCTCAAAACCACGTAATGGCTCACCTTTAGACCGCTGTAAATACATATATAATGCAGATAAATAATTAGCAAACAGAAGACAGATGATCATTAAGAAATTGAAAATCCAAATCACCACATTTGATAGCTCGGAAGAAGTATCCTATTGAAAGATGATTGCCAATATGAAGTGATACTTTACCCAACATTGTTATATTTATCCTCATAATTAGTTCAAAGAGTCTGAAGGAATCATGACATCTCCAGACCAAATATTTGCAACAACTAGAATATTTCATCTCAACTCATTCAACAGAAAAATCCTTCAAAATTATATAGCTTCACAGCATATTGAAATTCATTATTTAAACTTCCAAATATTTTGTGTTTCAGATATCTTAAACCCACTGAGAATTGTTAGGTGAGCCTTTTGCAGTACAAACTAGACGAGTATGTGACCACTCAATTGATCTCTTAGAAACATTGACACAGTCATCGTATTATTTCTGAGTCCAAGCTCTGTCAAAAATTCAAAACGGAGCTCAATTAACCAAAATAAGCTACGCCAGATACTGACATAAATCTGATGCAGTAGTCTTAACAACACCATTGTATCTAGGCATCAGGTTCACAAACAGAATACCATCTTGTAGCCAAAGAAACAAACCATAAAAAATTGGAAATACCTTATATGCACGTTGTGATGATGTTCTCTCAAGTCTTTGAACAAAGTGACAATATTTACTAGTATTCTCCAAAGGACAGCGTCCATCATGGGGACACTAAAAAGATCAGAGAAATAAAGGGAGAACAATCAAATGATTTCTTTAATTCATAATATCATAATATGGAAAATGTCACCACGGAACTCACAGGGGCAACCACAAATGCACCATTTTTTAGTAAGCCCTTAGGTTGAACAATGCTTTTCTCATCACTAGAAGCCACATTAGATGATTCACCATTCTTGCGGCATTTCTTTGAAGCAAACAAATCAAGATATGAACAAAGCATCAAAATATTGATGAACCAAAGTATCAATAAGAGAAATACAAACCTAAACAACTGGGACAGTCAGCTTACCCTCTTTGCCATCCATAAAATATAGGAACGCATTTGTGTTATAATTTTTGATCCATGTGGAGTTCCAGGCTCCAACAAAACCTATCCCAAACAGGCAAACACCACCCTTCTCAGATAAGATTGATTGTATAAAAAAATCAACTCAAGAACCCAAATGTCAAACAAGCTAAACTTCAGCACAAATTTTAGAGAAGTGGATAAAACATCATGGCTATTGTTGACCCAGCAACTCCAGCTGAAGAAAAATGACAAAAGCAAGGAAATATCAAATGCCCAATGGTTGTGCTATCAAGTGCCTGATGGTTCAGAAGGCACAACCATACATAACGAAATTGCATAGTAACTGTGCAGATTTTAATACATACTCATATGATTTGTTGAAGTTCCCAACTATCTAGCCTAGTCTGATAATGCATAAAAGAGTTCCTGCGAGCTTTTTTACTATTTGCCTAAAATTCCTCTTGGCTCTTATAAATGACAAACAGATCTGCCAAATCTCTCAAAAATTTAATTGTCAAAAGGAACTCGCATCTATTAATTTGTTTTACTCAATCATATAAGAATTACTAGCATTTTTAAATTAATAAACAGTAAACAATTCCATATCAATACTTAAGGCATCTAGAAATCTAACAGTCAGCTAATTTTATGGAGAATTTTTTAGTTGTATCTCATTAGCAATGTTGTGTGTATAAATTTGGTTCGAAAACCATTAAATTGTTAGGAGTCAAACTCTCAAATATGTAGGCTTTTCTTAGATAGAATCTTATTAAGAGATAAATTTTACTTTGTTTTTTAGTATTTTAGTTTTTTTGTATATGACTCTTTAATGCCCCAGTCAATGCTATTCTATGATGATGCAATATATTATCTAGTTATTGGAACAAGAATCTCAATTCCTAGATCCATACCACATGTAAGGCATGACAAGCATAGAACTAGAGAACAGAGATCACGGTGGAAGGCCAGAACTTGAGCAAGTCCAGTTAATCTCTCTTCCTGTAATCCATTTTGATCATATTTCTTGTCATAAAAGACTACATTTTCTAAACTTCAAAACTAACATAGCAATATGTTAAATCAGATTCAGTCATGATTGCTTACGGCAATATAAAATTTTGAGAAATGTTGGTAGTACTAAATTGCCTGCCTGATTCCAACAGCAAGGCAATGATAATAGGATTGAAAGAACTAATACAATGGATCGAAAAAACCAATATAATGAAGATAGTTTATAAAATAATTCTAGCAATATTTTAACTTATATCTACTGAACAATAATCTGGATTTGATAGACCGGTATCCTTAGTGTGACTGATTGAACAAGTAGACATTTATCTTTGTACCCAGCCCAAGTTCAGCGTGTTCTCAGGTTGAGTCTGAATTGACATGTCAGGTTGCTCCGCTCTTTTCTTGTCCCTTTCTTATTTAGTACATATGGACTTTTCTTATTTAGGACATATGGATATTCCAAAAAATGAACATTAAGACCAACATAAGAGGAAATGAATTTCCATGACAAAGATAATGTCTGTTTATAAGAATCAATATATAATTAAGTAAATTTTGCTTCATTCCAGTAGTTGCTACATGTGTTATCTTGTTTACATGCTCATTTAGAGATAAAAGGTTCTTGAATGAAGACTTACAAGTGTAGAGCTAATGAATCAAATCTTAGTTTAAAACACTTTCATCATCTTGAAGTCAAGGACTACTAGGACAACAAACATAATAAGAGTTATCATGAATTAGAAAATGTAATTAGAATTGTTATGAATTAGAATTTGCATTCTAACTTACAAAATCTACTGCATTTCTACAAAATGTCAAATGGCCCTATAACATAGAGAGGCCATGATGTGTGATCAATATGGCTTTGGATGTAGTGCCTTAAAGTAATGTTCTAAAAACATGCAGAATTGCATCGACCTCTTCCAATATCATAATAAAGATAGGAAGACAAAGAAGATTCAAACTATCTCAGGTTTATGTTGTTACTTCTTTAGATCCCGTCCTCCACAAGGTTTAACAGAAACAGTACATAACATAGATATCAATAGGAACTGTAAGTGTCGAATTTATCAAAGAAAATGTCATGCTTTTGCAGATATCAAATATCCCTACTTCCAATCACAATGGCCGAAGATGAGACGTATGTTGTAAATAAGAAGCTGCTTTAAACTGATTGATCAAATGAACATTTGAAAACATACGTTCACTCGGATAAATAGTAGATTCAAACTAGAGGTACTAAAAGACAACAAGGAGCTTTTAGAGAATAAAGGTTACCAATTGCAAGTCAACAAACAAATATATACAGAATAGACAATCATGTATGAGTAACAAAATATAACTGACAAAGCATGGATAGATGGATTACAAACACTAATAGTGATTGTAGCACATACCAAAACATCTCGTGTAAGGTCCCAAAGTTGACGCACAATTGTGATCCGATCACTAAGTGATGGTATCTCCCCAAGAGCATAAGACTTCATTCGGTTTCCATAAATAAAAGGTAAAAAAATTAGTCAATGCAGAAAAAAGTTATAACTTCAAAACCTTTTACACCATATCAAATGGTATACAATCTCAAGTAAAGAAAGATTCATCAAAGGAACACAGAGATTCCTCCCTTTTCATAAAACCAAAAAACAATTAATGGTCAACCAAAGAAGACTCCAGTTAAAATGTTAAAGATGCAACAACACTGGAAAGAAGAAAATTCTAATTACCATGCCATGCCCTTTCCTCATTAAAACACTCTAAGATAGGTGCGAAGCATTAATTGAAAAAAAATAAAGATATCACTCATCTTGATTAAAAGAATTAGTCAGGAATGCAACTGTTTCCTGATTATTCTTCCTTGTGCAATATGAAGTCCATTAACCTTAGCAATACCGTTCACAAACACTAGGACAAGACAGTTGCCTATAGAGGATTTTGTAGCAGTTTAGAAATCTTACAGAAATTACGAGATCATGCTTTCTATCATGTTTGTCCAGGTTACGGTTCAATGCTTGAATGCTATCATAGCTGTGAATTATGGGCAATCCTTTCAAATCTGTCACAAGAGTAATAACAAGTCATGTAGTTAGAACTTGGATGCCAGATAAGTTGACAAGTAGTGTAATGCATAAATTGCTATTGTACATTACATGTCAAATACAATGAGAAGGATGATCTTAACAGAATTTATTTTGTTATCAGGGTGTGTAGTAGAGTCCCATAGAAAAGAGGCCTTATACAAGTAAATCAAATGCATGCACCATATGAGGTTATTATCAAGTAAATGATAATATATATCATAACCACAAATGCTAAAAAGTGTTGCACTCCGAAACATTAGGGGATGACATGCAAGCATAGCAAAATATGCAAAATCCCTATGAAATTGGAGATTCTGCACAACCATTAAGTGAAAGAACTAAAATTTAACCGAAGTACGATTCTATATGGAGAAGGTGATCAAGAGTGGCATCGACTTGTCATTATCTAATCTGGAATTTATCTGGTGATGATGATGTACTGTACCTGATTTTTCAGAATCTAAATCTTATCATCCTAACAATTATTATGATGTTCATATCACTGATCATCTTGCCCAGTCCTTTGTTTTGTATTTACATGTGATTCAGTTGTATTAGAATTATCTTCTACTTCCTTTTCTTTTCCAATCCTCACACAGTCTTCCTAAAACTTTTCCTTTCTTGTCCTTATTATAGAGATCCATCAGCTCTTCCAAGAATTTAAGGACATAATATTGTTAAGGTGTCAACACAGAAATGCATGCACCATCAAATCAACTTACCTTGTAAAAGGCTTTGAGCAGCTCTTTGCATCGATTTGGATGGTTCTACCAAATTTATTCTTTCCAAAGAACGAGGCCAGACCTCCCGCATTGCCCTGAGAACTTCGGAAGTTTTAATTAAATGCAGAGGATAACAAAAAATAACACGCCCTCCATTTCCTTAAAAGAACCAGTAACACTTCCATTTTACAGGACAAATGAATTCAATTCTTAGAAATAAAATCAAAACAAGGAGTTCTCACCAAAGCGCTGAACCAGGTCCGGCACCAAAATCCAATACTTTCGAAGGAGAGAAGTCCGGCAGCCTCCGGCGGACCTACAAGCACAAACCAACTGTTAAAAGATGAAAGACACAAAATGGGGCAATTCACCGAGAAATCACATGATTCTATAATAAAGGTGGCAGGTTTGGACCTCACGGAGGACCCGGTGGCACGCGGAGTACACGGCAGGCATGCGGGAGGCCACATATGCCACGGTCTCGTCTTCCCTATACTTGAGGCCGATGTCTCCATAGGCGGACTGTATCTTCCACCGGCCGGCCAGGTGCTCGACGGGCCTAAAAGGGTCGTCCACGAGGTCGCGGTAGGCGGAGGCGGCAAGCTGGAGGTTGGCATCCTTGATCCTGTTGAAGGACTCCGAAAGGAGCAACACCTTCCGGTTCATATGGGAATTATCCCTGTCTGCTCCGAAGAATTAGTACCACATCAATGACTAACAAGAAGAAGAGCATCAACGAATCGATTATGGGGAAGATGGGAGACCTCGGAGGAACTTCTTGATGGCGCGGCGGAGGGAGAGGGGGACGAGGTGGATACCCTCGGATTGCTTGGCGGCGGAGCGGAGGGTTTCGGGGGTGAAGACCTTCTGCGCGGCCTCGGGGAGCAGAGACGCAGCCATCTCGATCACTGGTGACCGCTGCGTGTTTCTTGGAAGGACAGAGGTAGGGTTTTAAGGTATTATAAGAGGGGTTTCGGGTCTTTCGGCCATGGGGTAAAGGCGGGTCGGATATTTATCCCTCCGAATCCGACCTCCTGCCAGAGTAAGTGGGTCGGACATTTCCATCCGATATCTTTAAATTTGATCCGTTTTCTACCGACCTTTACCGCACCCTCCGTGACGTTTTGTTGCTGGCCGTCGTACGAAATTTCTAGGGCTTCTGCTCGCGAGAGAGAGAGAGAAGAGAGGGGCTTCTCCACTTCCGGAATGGCGGACGACGACTATGACGATGTCGACATGGGGTTAGACTCCATCTTTCTCTCTCTGCGTTTGCCTCAGTGTTTTCCTTTATTCTTTTGCTTGATATCTTCTTTCGATTATATACGGGTTCTGGAGACGTCTTCCCGTGTGTTGTTATATTTGATTAGATAAAACCCTCGTTTTTAAATCAATTGATCTGATCTGCGTGGTGGTGGTTGATTTTACTTTGATTGCTCACGAGGTTGTACTCTTCTTTGGCTTGGAATGTGTTGGAGTTCTGCGGTTCTAGTAGATATACTAATATTTAGGGGTAGCAATTGATATGATGTTTTTACCCTTCTGAGGGTTTGTAGTGTTATCCTAAGTCTCGGAGGAGAGCTGCTTTCTCTACAAGAACAGTGGGCTGAATGATCTTTCGTAGAACACTCTATGCTTGGGATAATTATTGAGGAAAGATGGAGAGTACAAGGCGGAGATACTAAGAAATTTAGTATTGAAGTTCAAGATATGGTTGACTTTTAACATGTGATTGAAGTTTAAGATACTAAGAAACATAGAATAGTTAAATAAGGTTTATTGATGATGCTAAAACCGAAAACTTGCACAATCCAAGGTCTTTACGACAATGAATTTTTCAAAGTAGTTTTGATGAAATAGCACTAGAATTGTAATAGATTTATTCAGCAATTGAGAATTTCATTTATTATAAACAGCCAAACATGATTCTTGTGACATTAAAAGAGATTTTGCATCAATTACAAGAAGCAAGAAACCAAACACATATTGGGAAAAATAACAAAAATTGGTCTGTGACCATGGACGCTTCAAATTGTCTTCCATGTCTGTGTCATGACCATAGACATGTGGCTGCTACTTTTAAAAATATAAGGAGATTTGTAGTACCTACATTTTATCTATGTTATTGCATTGTATATTTGATAGGACACTTGTATGATCTTTATTGGACGTCAAGGCATGACGAGTTGAAGTTTTATGTTTGTAGTTGGGACTTTTGACTTGTTCATATTATTTTTAGGTTAAATTCGCTCCGAGGTATGAAGTTATGAAATTTTAGCTATAAAACTTTGACTGTATATCAGTCTGAGATGAGATTTCTCTGTGTTCTGGTGAGTAAACATCCTTAAAGTTGATCTCGTTGAGACAGTTTCCTTTATAATATCCGCTTCTGTTGAACCTAAATACACCCTTAGAGTTGGTATTAAGATTGATGAAATATTATGATCCATATAAGGCATCACATATTTTATTTATTCTCTTAACCACCATCATGCAGCTACATTTTATGTGTATGTTTTGTGTTAACATTCTGTTAAGGATCTTGTGCTTGGGGAGCCAATATAGTGGGCTCAGTTACTGTGTTCCAGTGTTGGATTATGCTTTTATTATAGCATTATATTAGATCTCCCTTATTATGTGCTGAATAACAAGGCATTAGCATACACTACTAGATGTTGGTTGATTGTGAAATAGCACTATTTGATTTCAGAGTGTTATTGCAGTTATGAAGATGAACCACCAGAACCCGAAATTGAGGTAGACATTAAGTTTGCTTTTCTAGATCAATTAACATATCACTCAATTTGGTCACTGGTGATAATATAATACAAATTGCAACTGTGAAGGAAGGAGTTGAGGAGGATCAGGAAAACAATGAAGATGCTCCAGACGATGTTGTGGGGCCAGAGGCTGAAGACAAGGAACAAGAAAAAGTTGAACGACCTAGAAAAACATCAAAATACATGACAAAATATGAACGTGCTAGAATTCTTGGTACACGAGCTCTGCAAATTAGGTTTGTACTTTTAAGGTTTATCTGTGCAAAGTATGTGTGGATTTATACTAGCTTATTCGTTAATGGCTAACTTTGATCGAACAGCATGAATGCTCCTGTGATGGTTGAGCTAGAGGGTGAGACTGATCCTCTGGAGGTATGTTCAAACTTCAAAATTCTGATTTCTTTGTTTACTTTTAGATATCACCAAATTTTGCTAGTCAAGATTGGGCTTGAAGAAACTTCAAAAGGAAGTGCTCTAAAATGTTGTGTTTGTTGTTAATATAGAATGAAGTGGCTTATCCCCCTTGTAATAAAAAATGATAGTTGATGTATTCCTGTTTCATAATGATGTATGATTTGCATCTTTTTTATGATGTCAGTCCCATTATCTTTGACGTCCAAACAAATTTTGCTGTGTGACTTTAGGATTTTAATTGTTGCATCTAGATTGCTACTATAATCTCACTTCTCTTGTGCAAATTTAGATTGCAATGAAAGAACTTCGCGAGCGCAAGATACCATTTACCATTCGACGGTATTTGCCAGATGGAAGGTGCTGTGCTTTCCTCAGTTCTTTGTGTTATCTCTGAACCATACTTGGATCTGGCCTTATTAACAATGCTGATCGCAATTGCTCTGAAACATTGCCACAGCTACGAGGACTGGGGAGTCGACGAATTAATAGTGGAGGATTCATGGAAGAGGCAAGTTGGTGGGGACTAACATGACGATCATCCGCAGTTGTTTTCGGGGATTCTACACGAATTGAACCTCTTTCGGCTACATGCCTAACTTCTTAAACTGAATTAGACAGTTTTGCTTGGAAACGTATCATCTGAACTACTTGCTTCAATTGTAATGTTCGGAAGTGTGACAGTTTATGTAACTGCTTTCAAATTGTTAGTTTTACTGTAGATGGTTGTCTTGCTTCAAACAATCTCCCAATACATTCTCGTTTATTTTGTTTAATACAGCCACACTGGGTAATAAAGTAACCCTTATTGCCAAACGTGATATCATTACTTCATTCAAGAAATCTACTCTGTTATAAACTCACACTACAGGACAGAGATGCTAGCGAGTGTTCTCGATCATTCGAGTATGTCCTCGCAATATGATCCACTTGTTGCTTGTCCCTTAGCCTAATGAAACAGAGAATCTTCTTGTTTATATGCTGCTGCTAAACGTGGCATCCTTCCTCATTATTCTCTTCATCACAAGGCCAATAACACAATCTGTAAAGCTGTCGCTCACTGCAGCAGCCTTCCTGAAGCCACGATATAAACCTGCGTAGGTCCATGATTGGGGTGGGGGGGGGGGACACATGCGTGAACAAGTCGTGAACCCATCAAGAAAAGGATGGTGTTGAGAGAGAGAGAGACGTCCCTTTCCCACCACCACCAACCACATACTGAAGCCACTGTCGTACATCACCAGCGCCGATCGATCGTCCAAAACCATGTCAAAATCTTGAATCAGAAAGAGCTGCCGTTTTGGTTTCCCCGCAAGAAAAATCTGCAACCATGAAGTCTCGAGTCTGCCATGCCTCGCCGCCGGTATCAGGAAACTTCCCTGACCGGCGGACCATGAGTCACGACTGATTAATCTAATCCATGCCTCCTTCCATCAGCTAATCGGATTGCGTTTTCTCTCGAGTCTGACAAGTGCGTGCAGAGATGCATTATTGCTTCCGAGACCTGAGTTTTGTGCTGACGATGCACTGGGCCAGATGATGAGCATCACTGACGTGGATCCACGCTTGCAGGTACGCCACAGCTTCCATTTCTTCTTATTACAGTGTTGGCAGCTATTTATAATTGATTGGTCCTTCATTTTTATTAATCAGATTTGTAGTTCATACCTATCAAGCACATCTTCCTCATAGTCCTTTGCAAGAATTGACTAGAATGATCCAGAAATATGTGTGTTCTGTAAGAAGAATCTTACTTTTCTCAGAAAATAACTTAAAATATGTGAGATACGAGGAATTAAATTCTTGCAGCTTCTTCTCAATCTCTGTTTGGATAAGTGAGGTTATATGTCTGCCTCCTATCATCCATGAACTTCGAACGGAACACATGATAAGCTTGTGAGCTCCACATGGTTCGTGCATCCGTCGGAAGCAGGCAACGTACCGAGGAAGAAGACACCCACTGCTGTCCTCGCGGCAGCCGTCAAAGAGTCAAGTCTCGCGGGCGGAACCGACGACGTTTTGCCAACCAAAACAATGCTGCCTTACCTTCTGATCTTACACCCAGTTTCGTACCTGCTCCTCGAGTGGGTTAAGTCTGACGTGGACCAGTGGGTCCCGTGGATCTCCCTATTAGGACTGCGGGTTGGAGGGGAGGTCGACATGAACTGGTGGCTTTAAAGCATTCTTCTTTATCCGACCTGGCCACAGTGTCTCCGTACGTACGCGTCGCATCCACCGCCGACGGTCGCCACGGCGTAGCTCATGGATTCTGCCTTCTTCCTAAAGGGGCAGTTGCGTCACTTCATCGTTCCGACCGCCGGCACCATTGTTATTTTACGGAGCATCCGCCCGCCCTTCCGAAATCCGTATCTTTATCCTAATTCCCTTCTCCTTTCGGCGCCTCAAGGCGAAGCAACGAAGCCAACCGCCAGACAGCAACGGCCATTGGTCCATCTCGAATCGATTCCACTGCATGCCCCCTTCCTCTTCTTCTCCTAGAAAGCCCGCATCTTCCCGTGAAATCCCTGCTCGGGTCGCCGTCTCCGGACTGGGTGGTGTCGTGGAGTTTGGGTGATGGGGTCGTGGATTTCGAGCATCGTGCGGCCGGAAGAGGAGGCCGGCGGGCTCGGAGACCTGCCGGAGAGCTGCGTCGCGGAGGTGCTGCTCTACCTCGACCCTCTGGAGATATGCCGTGCGGCGCGTCTCAGCCGCGCATTCCGCGGGGCGGCGTCGGCGGACTTCGTGTGGGAGACGAAGCTGCCGAAGAACTACGAGTATTTGATGGGATTGGCCTCGGGCGAGAGGCGCCCGGGGAAAGAGACGAGTCTCTGCAAGAAGGAGATCTATGCGCGTCTTTGCCGGCCGAACCCCTTCGACGGAGGCACCAAGGTATTCTTCCATTTCTTTCTTGCGATTATACCAACAGGATACAAGGAATCGACGATTTCTATCTCTCGGTCGATTTTGTGATCGGGATTATACGGACGGGATCGAAGAAATCGATGGAGTAAATTTTAGGGTTTGGGCAGGATTTCCATGTTTAATTTTTGGATATAATCGAAGAGCATTAGCAGTAATTGAAAGCATTGTGCCCCTTTCTTGTCTGGGGGTTTCATCTAACGTTAGCTTCGCATTTGGCGAGCAGGAATTCTGGCTGGAGAAGAGTAGTGGTGGAATTTGCTTGTCCATTTCCTCAAAGGCATTGCTAATCACAGGAATCGATGACAGGAGATACTGGAAATACCTCCCTACCGATGAATCTAGGTATCGAATCTTATCTATGAATGAACAGATGATGTTGGTCTCATTGTGTGTGATATTGCTCATCCAAAATCCCACAAATTTTGGAGCACAAACCTTCATCCTTTAGCTTTTGATCAACATAATATGACTTTGGTAGATGTCTTAGTGTCAAATAGCTTGTAGCAGATTTTTTCTGCCCTTGAAGTGTTTGTGCATTAACAAACCTTGTGAGGTAACCTCTTGTGCGTCTTCGCAATTAGCCTTGCATGACATGTCGTACATGGCACTCCCTTTCGAGCATTGGATTTCGAGAAAACGAATAGATGTTATCTCTACCAGATCACTATGATTACTGTATGCATACGATACAGCTTTATGAAACCATTCTTGTTGTCCATTATGAGATCTTTGGTCTTTTGGTTTCTGTCTGTGATGTCGAATATGGTTGGAATTTGGTCTCTACCTCTTCCGAATGCCACTCCTTCTGTGATGTGTGTGTAATTTGATCCTTTGGTAAAATCATCAGCTGAATGGATTCTGATGCTGTTGAATCCCGATTGGTTTGTACAAGTTTTCGGTTGTGTGATCACTTTTTGTCATGATATAGCCATTTAACTTGATAATTCTTTCAAGGCATAATTTGTATGTATATTGTGAATTGAACATCGTCAATGTATCAACAACACTGATTCGACAAAGTCTCTCTCAGCCATTTGATACTGTTGTCTGCCATTACTTTCTAAAATAATAATTACTCTCTAGATATAAACATATGCATTGAAGGTTGTTAACCAGTGTTAAAGATGGTCCGGTGATCTGTCCTATATGATAACATTGATTCAATGCGGTCAAAGTGTGTCTCGATTTCGTATTTTGGTTGTTTTGAAATGGTAGTTCATTTCTAATCAACTCTTTGTTGCGGCTATTTGGAACGGGTTTATTTTGCAACCAACATTTGATTATTTATCGACCGTCAAGAGTTTGATTTCTGATATTGGTTGAAATTAATTGTGCTCACAAAGTTGTTTTTATCTTTATGTGCAAAGTGTGTTCTCAAACTTTTAGCAATTAAATCATATTATGATTGCTAATTTTACGAATGATAGCAAAAACTTAATATTTCCGCGTGCAGGTTTGGCATGGTCGCATATCTTCAGCAAGTGTGGTGGTTTGAGGTAAATGGAGGAATCGATTTCTGCTTCCCAGCCGGTACCTACAGCCTATTCGTCCGACTCCACCTGGGTCGAGCTTCCAAGCGTTTTGGTCATCGGATTTGTAGCTCCGAGCACGTCCATGGGTGGGACAGGAAACCAGTGCAGTTCCAGCTCTCAACATCGAACGGACACCGGATTCTGTCCCAGTGCTACTTAAACAAACCGGGGAGTTGGATTCTTTACCATGCAGGAGATTTTGTGGTAGACAATTGCAATGCGCCAACCACATTGAGGTTTTCGATGACACAAATCGATTGCACGCACACGAAAGGTGGCCTTTGCGTCGACTCTGTTTTGATATATCCCAAGGGTTTTAGACAGAGAAAGGTGTCTAGCACCAGCATGTAACATTGTAGTATTAATGGCTATCCCAATTGGAATGAGATGTATATAAACTCTTTTTGTTCCCATCAATTTTGAGTATGGAATTGAAGAGTAGTCGTATGGTCAGATGCAGTCTCAGCCTCTGCCATGATTGATCACATGGGGTACATACTTTTCTTTCTTATCCTTTATGACTTGTGGTTGTATCGCGTTGTCTTTCCACTCTCGCTTGAAAGCTATGAGTCTTCAATGCCTTCGGGACTCCATCTTTCATCACAGACAAAACTATAAATAAAAGGTTTGATGTAATGCCTATGTTTGTATTTTTTTATTTTATTTATACTTTATACAATATATAAAATATTGATAGTAGACTTAATAGCCTCACTTTTTTAGTTTTGATGATCATCTTAGGCTTGCAAATAAAGGTTATTGGCTATGAAATGTTTGTTGAAATGATTGCTTATGGATCCCGAGTATAATACTCTTTATAATCCGTTTTCTATTTTGTAGATCCTAAATGATCATAGAAGGTTTCGGAGAGATTAATCTTTACAAACGGAGATATATCGGTGTCATACGACTTAAGTAAAACCAGCTAAATGCATAACAATATGATAGCACGATTGACCTGCCGGAGTATGTTGATGCCGACCGAGGGCTCCAACCACGAGCACTTGCATGTTGCATCGTTCACAAAGTGTCTCATGAGTCATGTGAATTAAGATGCAATCACAAATGAGATGCATCTGTATGGTGGTGAGATTTGAGGATGTCACTTTTATCTCTTGGATTCAAAAATCTAAGAATATTTATAAATTTTGAACTTATTCATCAAAGTCACTATTGTTGATAGCGTATTTACTATTGTGAATCAGTGTCTCATAAGCAGAAAGAAAGGGACAATCATGAAAAAAAGAAGACCAACAAAACAAAAGAGATTTCTATTGTTGATAACATATTTACTATTTATAATCTCATTTTTAATTTTTTTTAATATTCATAAGATACCCCTCAATAAATGAATGAATGTCAATCTCATCAACTTATCCCTTAATTATCGTAATATTTTTCAAGACTCGATTAGTGTTGATGCTTAACGAGACGATTGGCCGACAGATGAAATATGACAATATGAAGTAATGATATTTGAGGGGTTATTATAAGAAATAAGGGTATAATTAGTAATTGAGAAGTTGTATTTAGTAAAATTATATTTTATTATTTTTTAAAATGATTGTATAAAGTAAAGAGATATTAATAGCCAAAAACAATGAATTGTCAATAGCAATATTCCAGACAAATATTATAAATTAAAAGATACCAATGCTATTGATTCTCAAAGGAAACAACAATTCAACCACTAATTAACTGACTCATCCATCTCAAGCTCTTAGAATGATGACAAGAGTTTCTTAATTTATCATTGTTTACTAAAGATAAACCTATTTTAATATCTAATTATCCTTTTTCTCCAGAAATGGTTGTCAGGAATAACTTTGCATTCACAGTTGTAATAGTTGTATTGGACGAATCATTTTCAATCATTTTAATATCTAGTTATCAGGTCCTGCAACTCTTTGGATCTATTCCTCCTGGTGGTTGGCCTTTGCTTTCCACGATGCTGTTTGTTGGCGTGACGCTCCCTCCATGGAGTATCTGAAGGACTGGACAGCCATTAATGAGTTGAATGTGACCTCGAGACGTCGTGTGTGACCAGCAATTCTCGATGCCCTGTAAGTAATCGTAAAAGTAGTAATTGACTTGCATCTGAGTCATATTAAAGATTGAAATGATGAGGTTATTAGGCTCCGACCTGTCCCCTCTCTGTGCATGCGATGCCCTGCTTCGCCGCCGCTAGCGGCCACAATTGACGTCGCAGCGTTCGACGTTTTACTGGTACGAACGCCTAGTAGTTAATACTTTGAACGATTAATAAAGACTCAGATAGATCAAATCGCTTGTGGCAGACATGAAGACACGAAGCTTCAACGGAAATCTGATAGAAGATAAGATTTTTCCAAATAAATCTTATCTATTCTGTTGAGAAAAATCCTTCCTCCTAATCCTATAAATAGGAGAGCAACGTGTTAATGTATTCAAACTAAGTTATTTCACCTTTTTAATAAAGTTTTTTCTATTATTATTCTTATCTTCTATTATTTCTATCAAAATTGAATAAGACAGTTCATGGATCAAATCCTCCTCCCACCAAAGCTTGAGATCATGGAGTTGGCCAGGCAAAAGTTCCTTTTTGCCGCAAGTGTCTTCGTCCTGTGCTTTCGTAGCTTCTGCCACGCTGAGAAACGTCCGTCTCTTGTCTCTAGTTGAGATATATCTGTACCCTCTTCATTCGCTGATACTGACAAGCTTCTTGTGTCTCTCTGTTG